AAATGGCAACAAAAATTTTACAAATTTTACCATAGAAAATTCGTGACGTAGTCAATTTAACAGGTGGAACAGGTACCAGACATTGTTGCAAGTACGAGGGCTAGGTGTACGAAGCATCAAGAACAGGTGTGTATGTACTCCCGTAGATGTGATTTTGAACGGGCTAGTTGCGGCCGATTCTAATCAGCTGTCGTGCTGCAGTTTACTCGTCTCGCATTCCATGCAAAGATTCATCGTCGTCGGAGTTTAATTTTCGGAGTAGTAACCGAAATCTACGCAATGGCCGTGAGGTCTTCGAATTCTTCTTGGCGAATTCGTCGTGGTAATTAATGAATGTCGTTCGCTGCGTAGGCGGATCCCGTGCAGCTGACTGCGTTACGCGACGCGGTCGTGGCCGAGAGCGAGGGTGAGCTGCTGCCTGCAGCTCCACCTAGGAAGAGAAAAACGAATCCAAAACCAGGTGCAGCGATCGCAGAGGTACGGTATTCGCGAGTAGCCTGTGCGGTACAGGGAACAACAACTTATCGAAGTGGAAAGGAATTGCTAACTTAAGGTAGAAATGGAATGCTGTCGGATGTATTCGGACACACCACTAAAAATATCGATTACAAAAAATACGCATCGTATACACGCACGCACGCACACACGCATGCACGCACGCACGCACGCACGCACGCACACACACGCATATACATACATAGGTAATCATATATATATATGTAATGACGACTCTCTGTGATAACGGAGTTTAATTTTGAACGGTGGTAAGCCCACGACCAACAACGCGTCTATCCGCTCTGACTCTCCTGTCGAATATATGGCGCCACTATTAGCTCAAACTAATCTACATACAATCTACATCAGGAGTAGATAATAGGGAATTAATCCAGGAGTAGATAATAGGGGAATTCCCTATTATCTACTCCTGATCTACATACATCTAATACATAGTTGAGACTGCGTGTATTAAAGCATGGCTCTCATGCTGTGCTTGTGTTTTGCAGCGGGTGGGGCACGCGGGCAACGGCGACGGCGCGAGCCTGCCTGATGACGACAATGACGACGCCATGGCGACGACGACGACGGCGGCGGCTGCTGCAGCGAACCTCTCTAGCATGTCGATTGGCCTCCCCGAGCCGTCGCCGCACCCCAGCGTGCGAGAGATGCTCGAGTGTTCGCTCGACATCACGTCGGCGACGAGCGGAGAGCGGCACGTGATTCACCACATCGTAAGCGTTCTCTTGTTGCTGCGCCGGCCTTGCAGAGAGCGCGTTGATTCTGAAGACGTGCGACCGCTATCGCGCATTGTTGACGCGCATGAAGGCTGAGGCGAGAAGGGTACGACAGAATGGTCGTGAGGTCGTTGTTCAACTTGCAGCGTCGTCTGCTGGTATCGCATCTGAGGTGCGCTGCGTTGCTACGGACGCTATACTGACACACCAGTTCGGCAGGGAAGAAATCTACAAAACGGCGTCGTATTGTTTTTGCGATTTCTCAGTTTGAATACTCGATGTGACGCGGCGTAGTTAAACGTAGGTTGCTACGGGAACTCCACGGTTGAAATAAATGTCATTAGTGTGCATTTTGTTGGCAAATTCTGGTAGATAGAAGCTTGTGAAAAAGTTAAATTTTGCAAGCATTCAGGATTCATACATTTTGTTGTAGTGATGTCTTATTGGCGTTACGAAAAATGTCTTTAACGACATTTTTTGTTTTGCAATCGTGCTTGTTTAGGACGAAGGGAGGACAAAGGGGGAAGGTGCACCGGGGCAGAAGGTGGAGGACGAGGAGGTAGAGAGGCAGAGACATCTAATGAAGGGTTGCTCGGTGTCCGGCGCACAACTCACGGACGAGGTTCGTAAACGAAACTTCAGTTACTGCGTGAGCGTGCGTGTGATGTACAATACATATACCGCTCGCACGTGTGCAGGGAAAAAATATAATTTATTTTTCGGGGGCTACTTTTCAAGCTCGCGTGCATGAAAATAGCACTCTAAAATTTGGTTTGCATTGAACTCTATGCAAATTTACGGGGGCTCTTTTTGCCATTTCCGGGGCTCTTTTTGGCATTTCAAGGGCTAAATCGCCCCGAGCCCCCGTGTATTTTTTCACTGCACGTGTGTCATGGGAGATCCTGGACTGTGTGCGTGCATGTGTGGACATGTGCATGTGAGAGTGTGCGTACGTGTGTGTCATCTACATACCGCTCGCATGCGCGCATTTAACAGGAGATCCTGGTGCGTGTGTGTGTGTGTGTGCGTGCGTGCGTGCGTGCGTGCGTGCGTGCGTGCGTGCGTGCGTGCGTGCGTGCATGTACATATGAAGGCGTGCATACGTGTGTGCAAGGCCGTACGCAGGAAATTTTTTGTAGGGGGGCAAATACGCAGGAAATTTTCTGTAGGGGGGGCAAAGGTACTCCCCACGCCCTCTATTGCCCTATTTGTCCCATTAAAAGGCATACTCTGAAAATCTCTAGGGGGTGCAACTGCCCCTGCTGCCCCCCTGCTGCGTATGGCCCTGCGTGTGTGCGTGTGCGTACGTACGTGTGCATGTGTGTGCGTGCATGTGCGTAATCTACATCCCGTTCACCTACATCCTTGTTTCACATGAGATCCTGTAAAAAGTCTTAATGTTTCTCTACTTTATTTTTATTATTATTATTATTATTATTAGCATTACAGTTGATGGGATTTGTTGTTAGTTAAATTTAACCTTCATAATTCGCATTTATAGTTTACATTTTGATTAGTAAATGATGGTCTGAAACCCCTTATTTGTACATGGTGTATGAATTAATTTTAGTTTAGATGCAGTAAAAAACTAATGGGCCTTGGTACACGGTTGTCACACAAACAATGGCCTTGTTGACAAAAATGTAATGTAGCACGTGGCTGATTAAAATATTCTATTACTCTTAATTACAGGCCAAGTGCTCTTGCACCACCTAGCTTCAGTGCTGAGTCATCGATATGTGCATCAGACCTAAAGGTACAAGACGGGTTCATCTAATCTATTTAGTTACAGTAAAACGTGTGAACCCCAATCATAGCTGTGGTGATAATTCATGTAATATGCTGTAAACACGAATGAAGATATAAATCCAAAACTTGTGTTGTAACCGGAATATTCTTTAATAACTCATAGTCATACAGTGTAGACACATCGCACAAAGAGACACAAAACCACGCACACGCATGTGGCACGCGCGTGCGCTTTCTCTCGCGACCAGAACCAGACTTGACTCTTACATCTCTGTCATATATATTCCCTCCCAAACTCCTACAAACATCCTGCACGCACATGTACCCGTTCTCTCAGACCGCGTCCTACCCCTATTTCACAATGACCTTAGAAACTGCCTAACCTAAAGACACGCTTATCCAATTCCCCTTAATACATCAATGTAGCCGCAACAAGATGCGCGATGCTGTGTCTAGATAGACTATTACTACAACAACCCCCGGTCCAGCCTCGGTGACTAATTCATGCAACACGTGCAAAACACGTTACAATGCTTCCATTTCTATTTGCTGGAATTTTGCAATGACAGAATATTCTGCTTTGCACAAGCAATATTGCCGAAAATGAATGTAAATGAATCCACGTTGAAAGACGAGACTACCTCACGAATATTGATGGGGTGTTTACGAGTTTGTACACACATATTTTTGTTGTTGTTTTGTTTAGGGGGGAGAAGAGGAGGGACAAGAGCCAGTGAGTCTATCCCCGGGACCTGTTCTCAGGATAGAGGAAGAGCTGCGCAAGTTGGAGGAGGCCCGCAGGCAGGCCGAGGAAAGGAGGAGAGAGGAAGACCGGAAATTGAAGGAAAGGTTGCTCGAACTCGAGCAGAAAAAGCGAGAGGAAGAAGAAAAGAATAAGGTAATCAGTCGGGTGTAGAAATACTTTGCACACTACTGTGCCTTGTTGGGGGGATTTCCACGTCACCCCGTTGGTCTACGAGCCTTGAAAATTGATAGACCTCACAACAAAAGGCCATATAGACCTACTGTGAGCATACTTGCAGTGTGCAAACATCACGAAATGTTCTCATTGAGCCAGAAATGTGCTCCGAAGTTGGCTATTTTGAAAACTTCCGTGTACGCAAGTTATATTTTAACGAAGTACCAGATAACGCAAAATAGTATCCATACGCCATAGCGCAAATGGTTCCTGGAACGAAAACAGTATATTTGTTTCCTGG